GCCTTGGCCGCAGATTCGGTGGTGCCTCTCCCAGTCCTTGTGCTGGCAGAAGGAGCCGCAGTACCGGGCGATGTTGCAGCCGCTGCACGTCTCGCTGGCTTTGCGACCGCAGTTCCAGCAACTCTGCAAGACCAAAGACGCCGCACTTTAAAATGGGGTTAGTTTCCAAGAGCTGCAGGACGGTGCTGACTCAACAGCTCTGGAGGGGACCGTTCATTCCCCTCTGGCCCAGATTTAGTCATATTAAATGAGGAATCCATTAATTCCTGCTATTTCACAGCCCTTTGCCAAGGGTACTAACCCCTACTCCTCTGCTCTGCCCCAAACTGCCTGCCAGACTGCACCGGTCACATCCTCTCCCCTAGAACCACCCAAACGCACAGAGGAAACAGCAGGCAAAGACTAAAAAACACGCTTGCAGATGCTGCTATTTGGTCTTTTTATTTCCTGTTTTAATCAGCTCTGTTTTGGTATCGCTCCCAGCCAAGTGCTCTCTGCAGGGATTACAGCGTGCTGCACAGGCACCATTTGCTTTGCACCCTGCCTAGCCGCACAAGAGGTCGGAGCAGGCTAATTTGGAAAAGAAAAAGCTCATTTGAAAGCCTCCCAGCCAGGTGGAAGCACTGCCAGAGCCCGAGCTTCAATCTGGAAGTGGAGCAAAGCCCCTCTGGCCGCGGGGAGAGGCGTCAGCTGGTGGGCTTACGGCGTGCCACCGCTTCCTTACGAGCGCGGGGGCAAGGGGCCACGCCGGGAGCTGCGGCTGCAGCTGCTCCGAGGAGGGGAGCAGGCGGATTAGCTTTCCTGCAGCTGGACTCGTGCGTTAGCAACCGCATACTGGGGAGGGCAAGTTCAGCTGCGGAAAAGCAGCCTCCGCCGGAGCCTGCCGGCCTCTAAACCCGCCTAACAGGGCGCCTTTCGCTGGCCGCCGCTTCTGCCACCCCGAGCAAAAAGCTGTCAAAGCAGGAAAACGGGGCGGTGGGAGGTGCTGACCTGTATTGCACGGCCCTGTTGTGGGGAAAGGCAGAGAGATTCGCCGCTCCCGGGGTCTGCACCGGAGCCACCAGCTCCCAGCGATGATTTACAGGCAGCAAAGCGCAAAACGAGCCGATCGGGAACGAGCGGCTCCAGAGCCAGCGCGTCCCCGAGGCTCCTCGGTCTCCCGAGAGAAGCAAAACTCGCGACCAAAAAAAAAACCAAACCCCTCATCAAAGCCTGTGGTAACTCTTGGAAAAGTGGGTCACTGCTTTACAGCTGTTTACACTTCAAGTGGTGTTTTTAAACCGTATTTCAAAGGTTACTTGGCGTGCCAGAATATGTGACAGCTTTTCAATGTGGCCTTTCGAGAAGAGCTCTGGGTGCTGGGGAGACGCAGCCCGCGCTGGCAGGGGGACACGGGGCTGCTCCCGAGGTCCCGCACTGCTCCCTGGGACGGCCGGAGGAGGAAGAGACTCCTCCGATATTCCCCTAAGGAGAAACCATGGCTTGTCTCATTTCTTCCGTGGCTCCCTGAGCAGTTCCACCCACTCCCAGTCACGTGTTTACGGACTGGTGCATTCATCCTTCAGTGATTTAACCAGGCAATAGTAGAGATGCGCTTCCCTGTGACACCACCTAATATTTACATGGCTCCTGCCGTGCACCAGACCTTCCCGACCCCTGGTCAGCAGGGTGGACAGAAAGCCCCCAGCAGCAGGGAAACGGACTTGCTGCCCACGCCGTCCCAGGGAACATTAACTCCACGTTCCCATCGGATTCTTGCTCGGCAGAAACAAAGCCTCTGCCCTGGCATTCGTGCAGAGAAATTAAAACAAGAAGCAAACCACACACGGATGGGATATGCGGCGCAGGAATGAGCCATGCAATTCTCCTTGCCTAGTCCAGCTGACATCTCCAAAGCTTAACGAAGTGAGCTTCCAGTCAAGCAACAGTGAAGGTAATTAACGGTTGAGGAGCAGAAAGAAATTCTCCAAGACACCCATTCCGCTGGTGTTGCTGGCTACGACAAACTGAGAGTCAGCCCTTCTTTTCCAACGTGCAAATGCCTCATCAGGCGTAACGAGGCAGGGACAGCCGCCCCCCACCTCTCCCCGTACGTGTGGCAGCGGCGTAGCAAGAGGCGTGGGGCGCATTTCGGGGGGTGAGGTGACCACACACTGCCCGGGCCCGTGTTTCGGGAGGCAGCGAAACAAGAAGATTCAAGATGATGTATATGCACCAGACTGGTCTGCATGGTATAGACCATGGGGTAATGTACTTTCACCTGCAGCCTCGTCTCCCCCGCGCTATTTTAAAGCCCAGAAACAGCAATTCCTTTTCTGCATGGGTCAAGCACCCCTCAACAGCAGATTTCTGAGCTAAACAGAGAGCTGCATCCACCGGCATCCCTTTCCCTTTGCTTCCACACCTCCCTCAATCCCAGGAAATCCCTAGGTGTTACACTGGGTCCAGCTCATGGTGCCCGGTGGTGCCACAGACACCGTTTAGGCTGATTCCCCTGCCAGCAAAATCAAAAGCAAAAGGTTTTGGGGTTTGTTTTTTTTTTTTTTTATGGTATCAGTGCATCCCTATAGTTATGGATTGGAGAGCGAACGGAAAAGGGATGGGGGACCTGCAGGCTCCCAGTCACTGCTGGGCAGGACCTGGAGACTTTGTGAGTCTCTGAAAGTCCTGTCCTAGGATGTCCTCTGGCACCTTACCTCCGTAGACTCCTCCTGTTCATTGATCACTAAGAAAGCATCCTCGGTGGCCTGGCGCTTGGCGTCCGCAATGGTCTGCTCCATCCGAGCCCTCTCAGAGGCAATCATCTCAAATGCCTTCTGCTCGGCCTCCGCCACTGCTTTCTGCACCTCCGACATGGCCTGGCGCTTCACCTCGTTCACGGCTTCTTCTGGAAGAAGAGCGCAGCTTCACCCACCTGCCCGAGGAGCGGCGTGAGCCTCCGAGAGACAGCGAGGCGCAGCGGCACGTTCCCTGCGGGTCACGGTCAGCACCGGCACCACAACCGCTCCCGGGAGCGGCGAGGTTGGGCTCAGCCCCACGGAATCTCCACTGGCACCGCACAGAAGGGGCAGAGCCCTTTGGAAAACCCAGGCCGGGGGAGCTGGTGGCCAGATGTGCACGTCCTGAGGTGCTCCTGCAGCTGGGCTTCTCCTGTTTCTGCAGAGTAAATCTGCAGCATCTGTGTTTACCTCAACCGATCCAGCAGAATCCCTTGCTGAGGTTACCAGCAAACACTTACCAGCTTTTTTCCATATCTCTTCAGTGACGTAGCCCGTTCCCGACCTGCTGCTGAACTCCCGCAACGAATCTGTTGGGATAAGGGACACGGGAAAGGTTGGAAAGCCTCCTCTCCCCCAGCTGCTGCCTCAGTGCCCAGCTGTACCTCAGTACATCGTGGGGCAGGGTAGAATTAACCAGCTAAAACTCAAAAGCAGAGGATTCCTACAGTTAAAGCCATCCATCAAACACTCGGATGTCAATTACAACATTTAATTAGTGCTTTGCATAATTTATGACACTGTATAACCCATTTCCATCTCCTGGTGCTCTATAACAACAGGCAATGCTTATAAATATATGCCATCAAACATCTGCACCGTCCAGCGACTTCGAGCATGGGTCTATAGGAGTTTACAGTAAATGCAGCACTTTCCACTCCCAGGGGCAATTCAAAGGCTTGCCCTGATGGACAAACTGTCCTGCAAGACCTCCTATGGCGGGACGTGCATACATTCCCCAGCACCCATAGGTGCCGAGAGCCTGCGTCACAGATGGGGACGGTCACGCGAAGACCTTACGTCGACCGCAGTCACACAGGGAAGCTTTGCATGAGCCTCGTCCTGTGTTCTACCTGCATCCCTTTTTTTTAAGGCTTCAGAGTAACTTTCTGAAGGGTCACACCAAAAAGTGGTTCATGTCAAAGGCTGGTGGGAGACCTAAAGTGCTCCAGGAAGGCGGTGAGGTTATTTAAGCCTGCGGCACACCTGAGGATGCTTCTTGATGTTTAACTGCACCTTCTCACAACAACAGAGCTTGAAAATTAGCCCCAGGTCCCACAAGAGGAGAAAGCATCAACAACATTCCCAATATATATAAAAAAATATTAAATTATATCACCTTTAACATGGGGCTGTATGTCTATAGTCACGATATAATTAAATATAGAAGGGCTAAAGGCTGGCTGTGCACATCAGGTCATCACGCACGCCCAGCCACCCCGGGGGCTCGCCACACGCTGCTCTGCAGTTACGGCTGGAGCCACGGGCACTCGGTTTCCAAGAACTCGGATTAATATATTCTATTTGAGTTCCTCCTTCTTGTGTATTTGTTATTGTTTTCCCAGAAAATACTCATTCTTGCTGTCTGGGAACTATCAAAACTTGTTCAACTGCAGCTAAATCTGGGCTGGGCTCTGGTTTGGATGGTTCTTTTTGATGTGCAGGAGGATTCACTCTATTTTGTATACAAACAAGTTGAATATATATCGAATTGAGATTTTTAGTTTGACATTTATTCTTATTGTTAGAAAACATCCATTTTTTATTATCGAATTATCAGGGTTTATTTTTCCCCAGCATTTGATTTGCAGCATATTTGTTTGGATGGAAATTAGAATTACTTCCAAATGCATAAAAACCAGCATTTTAGACTTGTTTTTTGTATAGGGTCAAACCCCCTGAATACTGGAGGGGAAAACCAGTCAGCTTTTATAAAGTTAAGTTGACTCATGATACAAAAATAGAATGAATAACTCAGGTAGCAGCTCTTGCACTTACAGCAGTCTTCGGTATTTTTAGAATTAGTAGACCTTGACATTTAAAATCCTTTAGGCACGACGACTGGAAGGGGAAGAGGGGTGGAACCAACCACCTCTCCTGCATTTCCAGCCCCTGGTTTCTCAGCTTTGAACGAACTCGGCTCGGTTTGGTCAGCAAGTACGGCTCTGTGACAAGGGAGATGCTCTTCTCCTGGCACCAGCAGAAGGTGCTGCTGCTGCCCAGAGGTGCCTTCAGGCGCCAGCGAACGCAGCTTCCAGGAGCTTCCACGCATCCAATGACTTTTCTCTCATCAAAGCTTTGCTAACAGTTATGCGCTGCTTAAGTATTTAATTTATATTATAATTTGAATATATTATCATCGCTTTATGCCTATTATAGCCTCATCGTAATTAGCCGCCTACTTAAAAAGGTCCTGGCGCAGCACGCCCACCCCTGGCTTACCGCTGCCGATGGAGTCGGAGCTGCTGGGGCTGTGCTGCCTGGAGATGAGCTCGCTGCCGGCCTTCCGCGGCTCGGCCGTCTCGCTGCACCGCCTCTTCCAGTAGTTGAGCTCTTCCCGATCGGCCTCCTGACAGCGCCGCAGCACGGCCATCGAGCGCCGGGTTTTCTCCACCATCTCCATGATGCAGTTCAGTGCCTGCAGGGAGGAATGCGTTTTCAGTCTTGCTGCCCGCTCATGAGGTCATCTCCTGAATTTCTCGTTGGAGGTACCACAGGGACCATCCCAGGAAGATGTAACACGAGGTCATTTCACAGCAACAGGCTCTGAGCACGGTATTTCGGATGGTCAAACAGGCAGGTAAGTTGGGTCCCGCACCCACGGGTGCGGCAGTGATGCTGAGCAGCACCAGCTGGGAGGGAGGTGATCACACCTGCACCAAGGGGTTTGCGCACCGAAGGAGGTTTAGGGGAAAACCCCACCACTTTGCCATGGGAATAGGGTGTCCAGGCAAGGCTGACTGTGATCCTGGCGCCAGCTCTCCCCAACAATGTCCCAACTCGCAAATATTCAGCTATGGGGCTTCTACTCCACTCCTTCCCCTGCTCAAAACATCAGCTTTAGAGCACAAGCAAGCATGGGGTGTCTCTGCATTTGTGATCGAAGTTGAATTTCAATCCCATCTCTTTGGGAAAAACTCTCCAGTGAAGTGCTTGGATGAGCAGCCTTGGTCAGAGAGAAAAACAGACTGCAGAGTCTGCCAGAAGTACCAGGTCTTGCTGTTGGTACCTAGCTCAGGCCCATAAAAGGCTGGCAGCCCAGGAAAATAAGTCTTTAAAAATAATGATGGGTTTACTCATTCTGTAAACTCCACGTCCTCGCTGCACGTAGCACATCTGCAGGCTTGTCGGTCCAGTGCTGGCCTGGGCTGCGGCAGAAAAGACCCGTGTGGGGACAAGGCTGGGTTTGGGTGCTCAGGCAGCCAGGGCAGCACGTGGCCGTGCTCTGCAGAAGCTCCCCTGCTCCAGACACTTCCTCCAGAGTGATTTTGGCCTCCACTGACTGTGGGCAAAGAAAACCTGCCAGGAAAGTGCTACTGCTCCTATCTGCCCTCCATCTCCCCACCATCCACCTTCTTGTGGTGCGTGCTCCTCTACAAGCCACTAGGAAAGCCTGGATATGGTATCGACAACAAGAAAATAACAAAACTGGGGCAGCTGGAGCACGTGGCTGCTGGATCCCACAGAGCTTCCCACCCCTCCTGGCATTCCTTACGTGATCAAGATGCTTCCACTCATCAGCCCACTCTCTCTCCGTTAAGCGGTGGTCCACCAGCTCGTCCTGGTATCCTCCATTCAAACCTGCAACAAGCCACAGCCAGAACAGCAATTAGATGGACCGAGGGCTTTCAGTGCTGGAGAGGGAAGGTGGCCCCAAAGCAATAACAAAAAGCCATATTTCCAGCTACATATAGCTGGGATTTTAACACACCTCAAGGAAGTGGCTCTACAGGCGCAATTCCACGTCAGTGCTTTTAACCTTGTCTGCGTGACTGTCTCAGAAGTGCTACAATCCACTCACGGGTCTGGATCTGACCTGCCCGGGGAGCTGGCTCTACTATGACAAACCCAGAGGAGCTCAGAGCTTGTGATTCAGGCTGCCCTGTTGGAAACACCATGTGCACCTCCCGCACACCCCAGGGAGAAACGAGGCAGTGGGTCAGGCTCTGCTCTCCTGCTTTAGTGATCTTGGAAAGGTTCATTTCTATTTCTCTGCCCTCCACTCTTGCCTGCTGGGTTGGCTACACTCAACTCACACACTGTGTCCTTCCTCCTCATCCTCAGTGGCTCCAGCCTTTACATGCATATAGGGAAATACAAACTCTCAATCCTTCTATTTTTAACCTCCCATGTCCAGTTGTCTTCTCCAAATTCCCTGCAAAATCTCTGCTGAGGATGTGCCCGGCATCACATAGCTTGAGGCGTGAGTGGCCAAGCAAGGACCGATGCCGGAGCTCAGCTGCAGGACTTCACAGCTCCTACGACTAAAAGCCCTCCCAGGCTTTCTCACCAAGACTGCTGTGCCTGTCCCGAATGTCTCTGTGCTCCAACATCTTGCTGGGGTCCCTGTAGAGGTGGGAGGTCGCAATATCTTCCAAGGTGTAGTGCTGGAGGGGTGGCGGGGTGGGGTGGAACTGTCCCCCGGGGTTCATCAGGGGGATTGTCAGGGCAGGGCTGTGCCGGGGCGCGGGGCTGATGGTGCACACCCTCTTGGCTGGAGGCTCCGTCGGCAGCGGCTCCCTCTCAAAGCTGTTGTCTTCCCTTCTGCAACCACACCGGCAGACAGAGGTGTTCATTAGCACTGCACAAATGTACTCGGGAAGGGAAAGATGCAGATTTTGAAGCAGCAGAGTTTGGGCAGTGATGATTTTACCGGGGGACAAAAGCAGGGAGCTAAAAACACGCTCAACTTATAAACTAATCCATGAAGTGACCCTGTCAAAGAAAAAGTTCAAGATGCCCAAGTGTTGTGATTCATCTTTCTGAGCATGACCAAATTAAAATTTCACAGTTTTTATAAATTTGAAGCATGCTCCACATAATTACATAACAAGTTTTAACTTGGAATAAAAAGTGGCGAAAAACGAACCACATCCTTCCCAGCCCTGACAGTGCCTCCGCTTGCCGCCCGGGGAGGCGAGAACCGCTCAGTTCTCCAGCTCAGGCTTTTCCGTGCTACCCAACAAGTCCCCCTGGGACAGAACCTGCCTGAAAGAGGCTCCCAGCCTGAATTTGCAGAGCAGGAGAAGCAATAAACGTCATCTTATTAACAGCCAGAACAGTTGTTGGGAGTGATAAGATCCTACGGTTTAGCCCTGGACGCTGCTCGAAGCTTTGACGCTGCAGCATCGTTGAAACAAAAGTCATGACTTCAAGAACGTGGCAGAGCAATGAAAGCTGTTTTTTACCTGTCCGGACTGTGCCTCTTCCCATTCCCGTTCACCTCGATCAGCAGCTCGGAGGAGTCAGCGGGGGACGTGGTGTTTGTGTTGAGCAGGATGTGCTCGTGTTGCGCCAGGTACTGGGAGGGCGTCTGCTTGGCAGCCCGGGCGCAGTGCAGCAGCTCTCTCTGCAGCAGCGGGAGGTTGGCCTGGAAAACAAGCGCGGCTCTGGTTTACGCAGGCTGCGGGCAGGCGTTTCCAGCCCTTTGCAGAAGGTTTGCTCTGCACACGTAACCCCGCAGGGCAATAACACCTACAGCCTGTGGCTCCCACTCAGGATCCACCAGCTCCTGGTGCCGGTGCTGTCAGATTTACCTGTCTTTTCTCAAGAGCTGAGGATGACCTGACATCGGTGAGCCCAAAAAAACAAGTGTCACGGGAAGCGCTCTGTGCATCCAGCACCTAACCACCCCAGACACGCTCCGTATGCCAGCACTTCAAATATTCTAGATCTGAACATTTGCAAATAAGATTATTGGATCAGAAGCTGCAGAACGGAGCTGGGTTTGTCTCCTTTATCCCTAACACACAAGCAGACATATGTGGCACTCGTTATCACGTTAGCTTTCCACAAGCCAGTCCCACATGGCCACCGCTACAGTCTGTGCAGTCTGTCTTGGACTTTAGCAAAACTGCCATAGTGCTTGAAACAAGCGCTTTCCCAGCAAGGACACACTGCCAAGTGGCACAGACCGGCACACAGAGCGTCAGCAAGCCCCACCAGCTCCCTGTCACCTTCAGAAAGGGGATCACAAACGGCCGTAGCGGGAAATTCGTCGCCTCTTGCAGCTTGCAGTGAAATTCCTCGATTGTCACTGTTGAGTTCTGAGAAAAGAAATGAAGAAATGAAATGACAATTTGTTCTTATTTTTAGACGCACGGGAAACAGCTCCAAATGAACAGAACTGGAAGGGAGACGGCATCTGCCACTACAGGACTGACAATGTTTGCATCAGATCCTGCCTAACGCAGCCAAAAAGACTCAGGCTAACGGGAGTAGAAATGCTGCACTAGGCAAGGGGTGAACGCCACACACAGCCAGGTGCTCCCCAGCCCAGCATCCTCCCAGCTCCGGGGCCGGGAGGCAGAAACTGGCTCCGGGAGGCAGGAGGACCCAGCTGGCATCTCCACACCCTGGCCAGGTGGCCTAGGGCAGGCTGCGGGGAGCCAGACAGCAATTCCAGCTGGTCAGAACTGCATGCCTTCCTCTCCTACTTCCTCTCCCCTTCAGCTCACCCCGTATAATCCATTCACCATCCACACAGTCTCCACCAGCCCACTGCTCACCCCACTGGCATGGGTCTCCCCTGGCCCAACCCTGCATCCCCCGCGTTCAGGCTGGGCGCTCCCTGGGACAAGCAGCATTTGATAACCTGCACGGACGAAGTTCGTCCCTGCAGCAATTACTGCAATCAGCAGTGAGAACGACAGCCAGAGGAACCTGGACAGCTTAGCTAAGGTACCACCCTACACCCACAGAAATATGCACACCTTCCTCCTTCAGCAGCAAAAGCATTTTGCATCTGGTGCTCAAGCTCTGTGAAAGCCCCCGAGGCCATGGACAGCCCCACGTTCTCTCTGCCCGCGCCAACCTTGGAAGCAGTAATGCTCCAGGCTGCCTGCAGTCTAGCTACCTTCGCTGCATGCTAGGCCTCAAAAGAAACCTGCCAAAAAGCAGAGGTCAGCTTGGGAGCAGCGCTGGGTGCAGCACTGGAGTGACGCTGGGCAGGCGGCATGGTGCTGTGCTCCAAGGTCTCAGTCCAGGGTATGGGCTTGCACAGCTTTTCCACCAGTCAGTTTGTACACCTGCTAATATTAGGTACAGTTCTGCAGCAAGACCTGTTCATTTGGCTTTTGAAGGGCGTTTCCAGCTGTCCACAACTGCAAAAGGGCACGAGGGCATATACACACTGTGTGCATGCACACTGCCACCAACTCCAGCTCTTGCAAATCCGAGGGTGGGAACGCAGAAGAAGGGCAGAAGATGCATAAAAGTTATTTACCAAGCCCTTTCCTCTAGCTGCACCTTCAGACTATCACAAGCAAAGACTCAATGCCTTGCTTTGGCAACACGGACAGGTATGCAATCAGCAAAGCGGCAGCACGCCAGAAGCCCAGACCGCCTATTTTGCGACAGCAGCCTTCCCTTCCTCTGCAGACCTCGGCAATAGTTAACTTTGCAGCTGGTCTTGTTTAAAGATATGCAGCAGCAGCCCATAAAGAGGAAAAAAGCCCTTTAAAGATACATACTGCGTTCACCACTGCGTATCGTAAATGAAATCTTTGAATCTCTACATGCTTGAGAGCAGAGAAGCACTCCCAGCTTTCTGGAGCGAGTCCCCGCTAGTGACAGGACCCGACCAGAACCCCCGGTTATTCCATTACACCTGGCTGCCTCGCCCAGCAAAGCAGCAATGAGTTTGAGCACGCTGAAGTCAGGGCAGCGCTAACGAAGTGGTGGCTGGAACTGGCATTTCTTTGTATGGAAGCAGATCAGAGTTAAACTGATGCACGGTCAGGGTCAGGCAATCATAAATCTGCACAAGCAGGAGAACACTTCCCTAGTACGAAACTACAGGCTCCTCTGATTTGTGTGAAAAGTTTCATTTACAAGAGGAAATGGAGAAGCCCAGCATAGCCCGTGGCACCAGACCTGTGGCCTTTAGAGGAAAACTTAGTCCAAATCCTTCTAGGTTTCCTTAAGTTTAGCTGCACCCGAGCTCATGTGAAAGCCACTGGACAAACAGCTTTTTGTGACCCACCAAAGACAGGGAAAAAAAGAAGTCAGCAAGTTTACCAGAAAGCATAAACATTACAGAGCCTTGCTCAGCCAACAGCTCTGCTTGTAAAGACGCAAACAGATAATATTGTGTAACGCAGGCAGGGGCTGGCTGCCAGGACCCCATCACCCAAGCGGTCTGGCAAAAGCAAGGTGTCCCGGGCTGGTGCGTGGGGCTTACCACCAGCGCCAGGACGAGGGTCCGGACCTTCTCCCCGATCTCTGGTGAGATGTCGTTGCCGAACTGCTGCAGGGTAGTGAGGAAACGCTTCAGCTTGCTGAGCTGCCGGGCGCCGCACGTGGCTGGGAGCTGCTGGTTTGTCAACGAGGAGGAGGAGGAGGAGGAAGGACCGTTGCTAAACCTCTGGGGTGGGGATGGTGCCCCGTTCAGCGTCGGGGGGGAATGGTTTATTCCGTTGGGCACTGCAAATGAGAGACAGAAGCGTTACTGAGTGTCAGATGGGCAGGTCCCCGCAGCCTGGTGTTTTAAGAGGATCCATCTTCCATCCACGAGCCTGCTGCTGAGGGTTAGTTGCCGCTAGCAAACAGGGCAAGAACCAGAAACGGGGCTGTGGCCAGAGCAGAGCCTGCGTGCCGTGCTGGAGGGCACCCAGCTACAGAGCTGGTCATGGGCAACGTGCGTGCCTTCTCCTTGATCTGCCCCTGAGCTCACGGGGATGCTCTGCAGCCACCAGCAAATAAGAACCACGTGCCCAGCCAAGGAGTTTTCCTTACGGGATTGCTCAGGTGCAATTTACACCACAGCCAGTGACTTCCCTGGCATTTCTCTCCTCCGCCAGCCTCTGCTCAGCGAGCTTCATTTCCAGGGCCATCAAACGCCGCAGGATTAGGGCTCAGCAGAGCAGGCACACCTACGTTCACGTTTGAGGCAGCCCGGGAGGACGTGGGGTCAGGCTGGATAAAGCCGATGCCGCAGCAGGCTGAGTCGTGCCGTACGCTCAGCCCGAGGAATTAAATGTGCTTCAGCTCAAAGTTTACAGCCCTCGGCAAGAATTACCGAGCAATGTTTTCTGGTCTGTGTCAGGCTGAAAATTACACCGGATGATCCAAGGATCCTTCCCAGCCCCATAGTTTACAATAAATTATCGGTGCTCGTTACAGCCAGGGTCCCACTAGCAGATATCCCAGCTCAGGTGCCTCCACCCCACCCCGAGGACGGCTGACAGCATCCTGCCCTGCGCCTGCCCGATGCACCTCCCCGGGGATTTACAGGGAGTTTCACAAACAGGGTTGTTTTTTCCAACCTGGTCCCATCTGCAACTTCGCCTCCAGTAAGCGACAAGCATGTCGAAACAGACTGAAGGGCTGGAAGTTTGGGAACTCGACAAGGGATTAGAATAAATTGTTGACATACCCGCGCCGCCGTTGTGCAATCTAGAGCCCTGTCTGAAGAGCAGCTCTGCACTCGGGGCCTCAAGTCAATATAAATTTCAGAGTTGAAAAGTACATCATCGTAAATATAATTTTAGCTCATCCACTGGGTTATCCTTAAAAGCCCAGGCCCAAATCCCTCACAGATGCAGGCACTGAAGAGAAGGCCACAAGCTATAAAAACCATTTCAAACGACGGCGTTCAGAGCAGAAGCACTGAAGCCACCGGGCAGAGCTGCCCCTTGCACGTGGGGCAGGGGAAGATGCGTGCTGTGATGGAGCAGCAGCTTGCAAAAAAAGATGCCAAAATTTCCGCTGCAGCTTCACAAGGTTCGTATCAAATCCTTATGACCCCAGTGAGGGTTTTTCCGAGAAGGCGGCAAGAGGTACTTGAACAGTTAAACCGCTCTGAGGCACGCCGGGGTCGGAGGCTGGAAAGGCTCCACGCACCTGGACCTGCCGTGGTGAGCATGGGAGGGAACTCGAGAAGATTAACCAGAGTCAGTTAAGATGAAAGGGAAAGATAAGGTTGAAGAGAGCATCAAAGGTGGTTCCTGCTAACCAGGGGGTGACAGGCTCTTCTGGGGCTTAACAAAGACGTGTCCTTTCACAGACAGAGAGACGATGAAATGAAGGTGAAGGCCAGGATTGAGAGGATGGAGGTGCAAAGCCAAAGCGAGCTCAAGCCTTTTGTTATGGAGCAATGCAACCTGAAGAACTCCTGCCCACACCAGCTTCCCCAAAGCAGCAAAGGACCAGAGATGTCCTGCAGAGATGGCACGTACCTGCAGGGTTAGCTGCCATGGAGTACCGGCAAATGCAGAGCTATGCGAAAGGCAAGGCTTCTGGCCATTACTCAAAAGGAGCATTTATTTCATGATAAAAGTGATATAAATAGGAGGGGAAGCTGCCCACAGAAGCTCCTCTCAAACAGCAAAGGACCGCCCAGCTCCATGGTCTCTGGCAGCTGCGACCGAGGCGCTTTACCCCCTTCTCTCTTCCGCTTCCTCTTATTCTTTCACATGAAAGATGAGGGAGAGCAACAAGTTCTATTTATACCCCAGGAGAAGCAGGGGCTGCGTGACCCACGCGGGGCCAGGGGGCTGTGGGGGACCCTTGGGGAAGGCTGCCGAGGATGGGAGCGGTGGATGTGGATGTAGGGAGGGGGGGCGAGCTGGTTTGGCTGGGGGCTGCCGTTAGATGCAGCCCCCATAACCGCTCTCTGCATTTTTCGGCTTACCCTGCCTGACCCTCCTGCAAACGGCGTTACCGCAGGGCGGCTGGCAGTTATCTGATCCTGCGCATCGCCAGGATCTGCTCCGCCACAGACCACAGAGCCGGGCTGGGACCTCTGTCTCCAGGTGAGAAGACAATGAGTGAGGTGGTGTACCGAGACCGGTGGGATTACAGCTGCGGGGACAGGAGGATGCTAAATTCTTGGGAACACAAAAGTCATCATCTAGGGCTGCTCTGTTAAATTCTGCCTTAGGTCCTCAATACTCAAAGGCTTTTCCTGTTTCTTCAACCCTTTTGTTTCTGATCTGCAGGCAGGCACAGCCTTCCTCCAGCGTGCTCCTCCTTGCCTGCCCAAGCCATGGGCTCTTACAGGGCAGGGCACACACTCGCTGACTCTGACAGACCCTTTGGTGCAACTGAGAAGTGAAAAGCAAGAATAAACTTCACAACAGGTTGCATCTCTCATCTCTCTTGTAAAGAAGCAATTAAGTCATCTGCAATCAGCAGATTCAGGCTCCTCGGCCCTTAGCAGTGTGCCAAGCAACCTCATTAGAAAAATTAATTTCTGTCACTTTGCTAATGGTCTTTTTCTGCCTGAGCAAAAGGAGAACCATTAAAAACCCCTCAGCGCATAAAGATGGGGACAACGTGTCTGGCGGGATAACCTGGCGATTATCACGCAATACGTCAGTGTGTGTCCTGAAAGAGGGCGGATTGTAAATCTCCGAAATCCGCTGCCAGCGTCAAACTGCGAGGTATCCCAGATACCACCACGGACAGCAAAGCAACGCAGAACCAGCTAGGGAGACGCTCCACACAGGGAGAAGGGGTGAGGAGAGGCTGGAAAATATGTACGTGCCATATGCAGGGGTCAGATAACTCCGTGCCCAACAAAGTCAAGTAGCTTTGCTCCAGAATGATGCCTTTTTAATAGACATTAAATGGCTTAAATGTCAGCTAGGGGAGAAAAAGAGTCTGTGCTCTTTCCAGGCTGGGAGAAAAGGCTGTATGTCCACCTGGTCTGCAGAGTCACCTCTGCGCAACATCCTGCTAGAAGAAGTGGGTGCAGCTGCGCAGGGCCAGGGTTATAAAGCGAAGATGGAGAAAAGAGAAGCTGGATGGACAGCAAGGAATTTCCGAGGCTGGGAAATTTAAAAAAAAAAAAAAGGAAAACTTCCTAATCTCAGCTGCAGAAATGCTGTCTGCAAAGTGAGATACAGCAGAGTGGGAATTAGCTCCTCCAAAAGATACAGTGAAAAGCCTGGCTCTTGGCTTGTTTGAAGCTGACCTGATAAAAGACTTCAATTTCTTAAGGAGTTTATGGCGGAAATCAAGGCTACACCTGCAAGAAGAAGGATTCGAGGCAGCACCGGGAATAAGGTAGGAGCAGGTAGGGAGGTAAGGGAGGATTACAGACCCTGTTCTGCATCCTGCATACATAGCAGGACAGCAGGAAAGCCCCAGTCCCCCTTCCTTACAGCCCTGCCGCATGGCTAACGCTCGCTGTGCTGGCAAGCATCCCTGGCCGATGGCCGAGACATCCTCGGTGACTTCTACAAGCAGAACCTGTCCTCCTGGCTAAAGCTGCTCCCAGGGAAAAGCAGCGTCACTGGGGTCTTACGTGCAGTTGGGGTGAAGGACACCGGCCGGGGGCCACCGGAGTTCACGGGGGGCAGCGGTGGCATGTTGGGAGGAGAGGACCTGGACTGTATCTTCACTTCCACGGGCGATCCAGGCATCACTGGCACCCTCTTCTCACCAGCAACTGTACAGAGAGAAGGTGGTAACGCTTAGTGACGGTCACAGACAAACATTTCCCCGCCCAGCACGTGAAGTACAGTCGCAAGGGTAAAGACGGGGGGCGTGGGGGGAGAGTCACGCAAGGCTCCCACGCTGCTCTGCACGGCCCCGAACCACCGCGGCGGAGAGGCAGGGTATGGCCCCGAGCAGGCAGGCACCTGGGGTGCAGCGGGTGTCCCGAGATGCTGCTGGCAGGCTCGAAATGCCCATGTTCACCGTCCCAGCCTTCTCTGCATCTTCTCACCCCTCGTGCCCAAAGATGCTTCCTCAAAGTATTTCTGCCGGTTTGCTTTGCTTTTCCCGCTGCTCAAGATCCCCTCGGCACTCCCCAGGCACACCCATGCGCACAGGGCGGCATTGGCGAGGGGTGCCGAGGCTTCACCCCCAGCCCTGCTCCCCAACCAGCAGAAACAGACTCTGAAGCGGCCACTTTGGCAAACAGCGCTCTGACCAGCTTTGCATGTTCGCTTTTTAAAAAAACCCTCACAAATTAAATGTTCCTGCACGTCCTCTCCCTTGCACCGGGGTGACCCTTGCTGCCCAGCGCAGCCTCCCCGCAGCTGCAGACACGCAGCCTTGCACACACGCCATGTCCACGGTGTCTGGCCCCAAGACGGCTTCTCCAGAAGAATTGCCAGCTCAGACCTGTGCAACAGGCAACTTGGTTTTTGGGTGGGTGCTGGCCCGCTGTGCAGGGAGCATGGGTGCAACGCTGGTGGCGGCTGCACCAGCAAGTGACCCGAACGGTCACAGAGCTGTAAAAATGAGCTGATCCCGGCTATTCACACCCTCTCTCCTGTGGGGAGTCTCCAGAGTCTAATACAGCACCAGCTCACACCGCAGCTTCTTTTTCAGCCTCTGAGGGTCCCTCCTGAGGAGCCATGCTCTGGCAGGACATCTCAGCTCAGCCCAACAGCGTGGCCACGCTTCTCGCTCCAGTGTGGCTGAAATCAGCCTCAAAAGGCATCCTCAGGGGGAAACGAGAAAAAAAGGAGGAAATATGTGCTTATGCAAGCCTTACGGGGTTTTGGGCATTTTTTTCAGGGGTTTGGTTTTGGGTTTTAAAAACCAGACAGCTCAGCAGACAAAGCCTAAGCATGTCCAACAGCACAGCTCCCACGGGAGCCAACACAACGCCCCGGGGTGCTCCACGTCGCGCCACTGGCAGCTCCAGCACCCACCTGGCTGTGGAGCTCACGACCCCGGACAACGCAACGCGAGGCAAATCACCCCTCCGAGAACGTGGTCACCACTCCCTGCTCCTCGCCTCACTCAATTAGCTCGCTAATGAGTTGTGACCGCGCTCCAGCACGTCCCCGTGCAGGAACGCCAATGGGGTCCCAGCGCACCCATCTGCACCCCGGCTCAGGGGGCGAGGGAGGTGCAGACACTCGTCTTTCACCTTGCTGCGGCGCAAGCAAGCCAGGCTTCGGACCGGTGAATCTTCTCAGACAGTTGCTGGCTTTTGGCGAGCGGAAAAGTCTGCTGAAGCTTCAGGGCGGCAGCCAAGCGTGCCGCTTCAGATGCCGGAGCTCACGCACGAGCGAGCATCGCTGCCTGGCGAGGCGGCTGACGGGGGCTCCCGGTGCACCCCCTTCAAGGAGGCACGGCCGAAAACCGACACGTGTACAGGGACTCTGCGCCACCTGGGATCCGTCCTGATGCCTCTTTAAGCCATAGAGGAAAGGTATTAAAGCGCATGCTGTAATCTAATCAAATTAGATTACAAACTAATTTGTAATCCACAGTTTTTAACAAGTATCTACCAGCTTTAAGAAACCCAGCTTTCAAGTTCTGGCAAACCAATTAAATGCTCTATTCCCGTAAAGCAGAGAAGCACTGAACGGACGGCAAAGTTTTGTACTGAAATACAACTACAAAACCTACTACTTCGCAACTCCTGACAACAAAAGTGCTGCTTTCGAGAGCAGAGGAGACGCGAACTGGCGCCCCAGCCCTTTGTGCCGCGGCTCCGTGAGCCACCAGCACCTGCTCTGCCACCACGCACCAGGCACGAGCCGGCTCATTTATTTTCCTTATGGCAAGTCATCGTTAACGCCAACAAGGTAACAAATGAAGTGTATTATTCCTAGCATTTTTTTTTTTTTTTTTTTTTGCTGTTTGCAGGACGATTTGTGGAAAGGGGAGCAGAGATGAATACATGCTGAAAACTCATGTTTTCCTGCCGTTTCAGTGCAGCTGGAATAACTGAGGTGGTGAGGCTGGAATTGCTATAAAACCCGTGTCCACAATATTTCCATAGCAGAAAGTTTGTGTCTTTATTTATTTAAACCTGCTTTAAAAAAAAAAAAAAATTCTAGGTTTTGCTTTCATGAACAAAGTGGGGACCCACCAAATGCACTATTAATTTTAACATAATAATCATACTAATATAATATTGCGAACTACTGTTCACATACGTGTGGTCCAATTTTCCTACGATTTAATACTGATGTGCAGACTCTCTCTCTTAAATCCATGCATGAATATCATGTTCAGCTGAACAATACACTGATGTAGGAACAGGACATCACTCGTGCACACAGGTACCTATTCCAGCAGGCGAGTTTATCGGCAAGAGCAGGAAGAGAAACCCACTGCCTTTCCTCCCGCTCAAAATAAACACGGCAAAATAGTCAAAGAGCAGGATTCGTGCGTGAAGTCAGGGGCGTTTCTAGCACAAAAAGTCCGAGTTCACTCACCCAGGCAGGGAAGGGAAATGTTGCTAAACAACTCAAATTTTTCAATCAAAACAGCACTAGTTGTGCCTATGCACCACTCAGTGCCAGCTGCTTGATGGCCATCAGGGGACGGAAACATATTTGCTCGGAATACAGGAATAATTGCAAAACCGTGAGCTCATACACAAGAACCACGACCTGTTTGCACGTCGTCCAGGGACAGAGGCGCGAGATGCGGTTCACGCTCTTCTCTGCACGCTCTCTGCCCACCTCTACGCCTGCCCAGCTGCAGGCAGGCCAAGCAGAGCATCGCATGGCTCCCTGCCTGCGGCTAGCCCCTTCCTACCGCACAGCCTGAATACCAACACGTTGCCACCCACCTGCCCCATTTGATGATCTTCATCCCCTCCCCATGAAACCCTCTTCCCCAGGCGTATACGGACGGCCTGATATCGCCATGCTCTGGAGAGAAACAGAGCGTGAAACCAATCCTTAAGGTTTCTCCTCTTTCCTCCTAAAACGCTCCTAGGGTACATTAAGAAAGCAGAACTAATTTGGTTAATTTACAGGGTGAAAAAAAAACCAAAAGAGAGAGCCACATGGAATTTATAACCCCAAAATAAAACCAGCCACTGCTAGGCTACTGCATGAGACACCAAAACCAAAGCCCACAAGAAGCCAACATCTTCTTTTCCGAGCTCACTCTGACAGACAAGAAGCAAACAGGATCGTTAAATTTAAAAGCTTCCTGGTAATGACCTGGGGCATCTATAAATGCAGATAAAAACCATCTTTCTAAAACTCCTCATTTTTAGCCTAAACACGTCCATTTAATGAGAATCATGTGAGCAAACCAGACTGCGTACAAGGACTTGAGTCAGCCTCCAGTTCACCCGGGTCTAAAAATGAGCCAGTGAGATGGTCCCTGGAGAAACGCCGCCTTCCCCGTCTCTTTCTTCTGCATTTCACTGTTCAGAAATATTTACTGGCTCACCAATGGCAACATTTCAGCACTGCCTCCAGATGCAGAGAGAAGATGCTGAGATGCTCCTCAAAATGCCTGCAAGTCACTTCAGTCACCTGAAATCATGCTAAAGAGTCAAATGCCATAACAGATTTTCGGATGATGCTCTAAGAAGAACAATTCTTGTCAATGACCGAATACTCCAAGTGTCAGAGCAAGACATCTGCCTAAACTGGAAACACTGGGTTGTTTTCCTTCAAACACACCTCCTTCCAAACCCTACCTGGACTTAGGAACATTTACAGACCTTATTTTTCAAGCTGTGCCTGCGGGACACAGACTGAACATGTTTATGGCACAGCACTTTTGCTGTCAAGGTGCCAAACGTCGAAACTCTGCAGTGACACGCGCTCAACTTTGCACCCAGGACTAAGAGGTGGAAGCGATGTGGCCACCCAACCCGGTGGGACAGCGGCCTTCCTGGCCTGGAACGCGCTGGAGTTTCACACGGGAAGATGATTCATTCTGAGTAAAACAAAACCCGATCACAGAGATGCTGTTTTAGTCTTGGCTTCAGGCAAGAATTTCATCTTCTCCAAAAGCCGATGAAGCCTGAAGACCAGATTTCGCAGCGACTGGAGTTACAGATTTCAGATGCTGCAAAGCTGCTGTCTGGGTAAGGACAGCTGTAGGCATGTACAGTATATGCTGCGTGCCCTATATATTCGCATGTCCCATTTAAGGGGCCCAGGTGTGCAAGAGACTAGAAAGCCCCAGAGCTTTGAGTACACCTGAAGCCCTTCATGCCTCTGCTCTCCAGCAACACACCGAAAGGCCCTGGTTTTATTTGACTCTCCACGCTGTCGGTATGCACTGTATTTCCTTTGCTGCTCCAGTTCTCATCCTAGCAGAACAAATTAAAAAAGAGCCTAGGTTAAGATTAAGTGCAGCTGATGATTTGCCTTTCTGGAGAGGAGAAAGAGCTAAGTGAGACAGACAACAGGACAGCACGCCAGGAGAAAACCTGGGGTCTCGACTGGTCCCACTCCTGCGCTGCCCAGGGACCGAGGCTCCAGCCCTCCAACACAGCAGCACAGAGAATCATAGAATATTAAGGTTGAAAAAGACGTCTAAGATCATCAAGTCCAACCACCTTAGAGGGGACAGTTTCAACACCGACTCGAGGCAGGTTTCATCGTATTCATTATCTTCAAAGAAGTCTTCCACCTATGGTGTTTAGTACAAAGAGTGTTTGTACTAGTGTTGCTGTGATGGGTAACCTCTGAAAAATGGCTAGCATTTACTTGTGTTGTA